TTCTGATCATCTGATACTATAATGTGAGAAGTCATCAGCAAAATACAAGCAATGTCACTACAGTCCGCTACAGGAACTATGCTCTGTAGGTACCTAGATTCTGCTTCTGCTTTCTTTGGGATATCTAGGCTTTTTGCTGCTATTTTAAGTAACAGCTTCAATCTTCTACAAACTACAACAGCCTGGCTGGCATGCAGAAAAACAATAAACAATGCACATATTTTATGAAAAACAATATGAACAATCTACTTTCTTGTAAAATATATTAATTACCTAAGGGGACCTTTATAAATGGTATTATCTTTCCTTGGATATTTAATTTAGACTATGTTTGAAAGAGTAAGCAGTGGGTATCCTAACATTATTTCTTAAAATACAGCTGTAATATAAATTCAAAAGAAAAAATAATGCTTTTGAAGTGATAGTTTGGTGATTAGCATTGCTGATTCAAAATGCTGGGGCTCTGGGCTCAATTCCAGAGCTGGAATGTTACCTGCGTGGCTTTTGTATGTTCCTTTTGTGCTCCTTTGGGTTTCCTCTGGGTGCTCAGGTTTCTTTCCACGGTCCAAAGACATACTGGTAGGTTAATTGGCTTCTGGTAATATTGGCCATAGTGTGAGTGTGTTTGTGTCTGTCTAGCGTGCAATGGACTGGCATCAAATCTAGGTTTTAACCTGCCTTGTGCCTATTGTTTGCTGGGATAGTCTCCCACTCCTCTCCTCTCCACTCCACGACCCTGTATTGGATAAAGCAGTTAGAAAATTGATGGATTGAATTTATAGAAAGCATGTCTAAAGTACTTTAATTACAGTTGCTAATTACTCACATTTGTGGACGTCCAGAAAATGAATAGAATCAATGGAATCATTGGAATCCTATCTATGAATTGGCTTCATTACTCTGTTTTCCTTCCCACTAATAGCTGATGTGTGGTGAGCGTTCTGGCGCACTATGGCTGCTGTCACATCATCCAGGTGGATGCTGCACATTGGTGGTGGTGGAGGGGAGTCCCCATTACCTGTAAAGCACTTTGAGTGGAGTGTCCAGAAAAGCACTATATAAGTGTAAGCGATTATTATGATAAATTATTGTTTAACCATGGAAATACCAAGAATATATTTGTTGGACAAAGTTGGATGAGGATGGTTGAAAAATGTTATGCTTTTCTCTTGGTAAAACGTACCAGGGAGTTCCTCATCCAGTAGGTGATTAATAACATTGAACATGATAATGATATTTAATGTAAAATCAAAGATTATATTTTACATATTTATTTATTGGCTTTTGAATTATTTTCTTAGTACAATTAATGCAATTTATAGCATCCCTTGCAGTGTGTTGCATGCATCATTCCTTTCAGATAAATGACCCAAACTGTAATATATGATGTTGTGGTTATATATGTAGAGTCAAAGTGTCATGAAAGTGTTCTTTCTGGACCCTATGCAGACAACACAATCTAGGGATGAGTGAGGAAAACACGGGGAAAAAAAGCATGCGGGAGTCTGGAATGTAAACAGGAATGTAAACAGGCGTGTCCATAGTGTGCAGGTGTCCAGGGGGGTGAGTCTGGGGCAAACAATGAGTCCAAAGGGAAATCCAAAAGGGAGGCAAAAGGTCCAAAGCCGGGCAGACCATCCGAGATGAGGACAGACAGGATTAAAAACCGGAGCGGGATCCAGTGAAGGGTCTGGGGGAAAAAGGGGGAATGGGACCAGACGCTCAGATCCTGGACTCGCTTGGTGTGGGAACCAATGCAGAGCCCGGAACAGAGTGGGTGTCTGGCTTTTAAGGTGGGCTGGAAGGAGTCTGGAACAGGGGGCAGGTGCACAAAATCAAGTCCGAAGTGAAAAAGCCGGAGCGCCCTTAAGGGGGAGGGACTATAATCGTGACACAAAGTATTTATAAAACGAAATATGTATGAGATATGAGGCTTATTCTTGCAACTATCTCTTCAGGGGTTAAATCAATTTAAAAAGACAAAATGGCCTTTGATATTACATATTGTTTAATTTAAACATCTGAAACAAAGACATAATCCTAGCAGAATTAAAGATGACAAGAAATGTACTTTGTTTGTGTAGTTATTAGTAGTGTATTTATCTCACAGTCTTATCAAGCTGTTTCATGATGGATTCAAGACAATCAGAATCTGCAATGATATGTGGTAGTATAAAATAGTGAAGGGTATTAGAACTGTGATGTTTTCTTTAATGTTTGTGCTATCTATTAATAAGTAGATTTATAAATGCAGAAGTCACAAAATATAAATGAGATCAAAATTACAGTGATGAAAGCATGCAAGAAATGTAATCTTGCTAATCTTCTGATATACGGCAGAAACTATTATTAAATTATGATTTTAAAAAATGACAGCAAGATCACTAGATTGAACAGAACATATACTGTAGGATTTATATTCAGTGTGTGATCATGTATTAGCAAAATGGATAAAAAGTACACTTCGTGAAAGTAAAGGGTCCTATCACTGGGAAAGAAAACTGCCTTTGCTTGAAGTATTGACAAAATGCAGGAGTTATGACTTTCTTGTATAACCCTTTGCCTAGTGTAAAAAAGTAATGCATGAAGTGTGGATAGGACCAGTGATCCTGGTCTGGGTTATTGCAACCTGGAGAGTGAGTTTATTGGGCCACCTCCATAGATATTGGTGAGGGATAGCCCACATATGCATAAGGTCATACATAAAACAACAATGAAAAGTTCCTTTGAACACCACTATCTATGACTGCCCAGTGACTCAGAGCAAACACACCTATAAACTTGTATACAGTAGTTTCAATACATTTATTCATAACTGCTTTTAGTTGTTAAGAAGCATATGAAGGTAACAATATGGACTTTTAATGGTATCCTGAAGCCACTTCAGTGGTTTGTTAGTCTGGGGAAATCAAATGTCATTTACATGAGTCTGAAAGAAGAATACACATGTAACAGCAGCATTATCACCTTCTGATCTCATCAGACTTCAGACTAGTTAAACAAGGTTGGGTCTAGTCAGTGCAGAAATGAACGATACGTAAGCTACAGATTACTTTTTTAACACCCTTTATTCTATACTGGGCCTTTCATGGTACATCATCTCAAGGCAATGCTAAATAAAACAGTCAAACAGAGGTCACAAGTCTATATAGATTGAAACATTAAAGCACAAACTAAAACAGTGAACTAAACGTAATTCAAAGCTAGAGCATATACTGTAAGTAAGTTTGAAGACTAGATTTCAAAGTACTATCTGATTTAAGATAAAATAGATGATATACGCTCATGCATTTTGTTATGGGTTGAAACCCAAGAAGCTGAGCACTAAATGTGTTAAGATAATGCAAGCACAGCATTCATTTGCAATTATCAAGCCTGGAAAAGACAAAAGTATTAGTTGTATGGGAAGCATTGTGTGAGACATGTATACAGATGCACACAATGCTACAGAGATGAAAAAATCATACACAACACTTATTAACATGATATGAGTAACGACTCCAAGATTACTAAACTAAGTATTTGGACTGATTCCATGACCATCAATAATCAAACAAAGTTTGTGCATATTGAACAGGACGGACTTTTTTATTTTCTTTTTTGATATTCAGGTCTTTTTCCTCAGGGAAATAATTTACAAACCATTTTCACTGGATTGTTAACAGAGACATCTGAATTTCTTAGTACTTTTTTACACTCCCATATCTTTCTTTATAGGAGTAAGAGTGTTAACCCTGATGTACATCCAAAATTCAATTTTGTACTCACAAAATCTGGCTTACTTTTCCCATTACTTAAAATAGTAAATAAATTCCTCACTTCTCCATCTAATCTGATGTGTACTGGGTATGTTTGAAGTAGGTCCCCTCCTACATGTAATACTTTAGAGTACTCTGTGACAGAAGTTAAATGGAAGGAATAGTAATATTTTTTTAAATAACATTAAAACCAAAAAAGTGCATATCACTCACATATTCGCTTGATGGAGACATGCCAGTTTATCAAACTTGTTGTGCTATTCCTTTCTTGAAATTTAACTCACGTGAGCTCTCTTTCTCTACAGATACACTGTACATATGATTACAGCACAGATTAAACCAATATTCCCATGTGTTTTATTACTTAAAACCTAAATGTATTCCCCGGAACAGGAATCCTGCAGTACACAGAGAGAAAAAATAAAAATCTAATTCAAACATAATCCTTAAATCTTTATTATTGTTAAATTTTTTTTAGGCCTCGGATCCAATATTTGTATTTTGACCAACCAGATACGTTAAGAATGCAGAATATCTCAGGAGACACAACATTGCAAGTCATTCACTGTTTTAGCCTAGGAAAGAAGTTAAACATTGTGGATACAAAATTAACTGGATCAATTAATCCATTTAGGTAACAGCCAGAGCAAAAGCAGTAATGTTCTGTGGTGCCTATTTTCTGTAGCAGCTACATTTGACAAATATATATATATATGTAGGTAAAATTGATTATGATAAAAATGTAGCTTTTAAATACTACTGCTTAAACAATAGTCTTGCAGTTCAACCCTTGGGCAAGACCTACAATAACAAAAGTTATTTTAGCAATGACGTTCTATACTAGTTTACTGTAAATTACAATTCGTATACATTCGTATAAATGAATGAAAAGGACTCCTCCAACCATGTCACAACAGAAATAATAAAGATAAACACATTGTAACTGAATTAACTTTGTATCCCCTTAAAAATACCTAAAACTTACACATTAAGCATAACCTGTGTTAAATATACAGTAGGTAACGTGGAGAGTACTTTTATCTGTTAAACTTGGTTGCATTTTATTGTTTCAAATGGAGAGAGGGGCGGGTACATTATTTTAACAAGAGTTTGCATCACTAGTTTCTTCAAGCGGGGTGTGAATTTCTGTTGGTTCAGGAGCGGAGGCAGGGTTGATAGGTGCTAATTGGCTGTCATATGTGGGACTGTTTAAGGGACAAGGTGGGTTCACTTAAGCTTAAAGTGCAGGAGGCAGTGGGGAGTGATATGTTAGAAGTCATCCAGTTAAACTAGCATCTAGACTTCTTCTATATAACGCCTTTATTTTACACAGGAGATAAAATAATATACTAATTTTCGTCCTCGGAACATTTTAAAATGAAATTTGCAAGCCGCTTCAGGTAATTTATCATTTGAATTTAAATATCAACATTGTTTGCCTGCAATGTTTAATTCAAGTTTTGAACCGTTTTTATTGAGGTCTGTTCCTGCTAATAACTGGCGTTGTGTTTTTACTGTTTTCAGAATTGTTATTTCCCTGGTGGTTACCTTTCAGACTGTTCGTTTTGGATTAGGTACGTGATTGCATTCGAGTCACATTCTTTAATATATTCTTGGAAGTACCTAATCGTTTTAAGTATTTAGCCAGGTAATAATCTCGGGCCTATTCTTACAGTGTTACCTATTTCTAGTGTTTTTAAACTGTCCCTTAACTACAACTTTACCGTCATAATTATTTGCAGGTTGTGATGAGCAGGAGTGTGATGCATCTAAACCTGAAAATAATGCGCAAAACGAAGAAAATCTTAAACGGTTTACTGAAATGAATGTTCAGCCGGAGAGACTGAAGAAACGAGATCCTGATTCTGTTGTGCCGTTTGTTGGCCTAACTGGAAGTACGTTTTTCTTCATATGATTTATAAATGTAAAAGTAACAATCAACCAGAACTAGCACGGCCTCATATTGAACTGCATACATTCTCTTTTAATTGAAATGAATAAATATCCTGTATTTTGATTATAATTTATATTGGTTTTAAAAAAAGTTGTAGCTACAATTTGGGGGAAATCGCATTGGAAGGTTCATAAACTTGACCTCAGCTGAGCTTATTGATGTGTGAGTTTTGTTTTCTAAGGCCATATTGTGTACTGTTCTCTCCCTGTGGTCTTCCATTTAATCCCCAAAAAAACAGAACAGACTTACCTAAACAAACAATCAGGCTGTTAGCTTTTATTAGCCTTGATTTGAAGACTTTAAACCCAGGCAGGAAAGAGGGGAAAAAATGCAGTCATGCTTAAAGAAAATTTGCACCTAATATATCTTTATTTATTTGTTTATATTGCTGCAAATGTTCTTTGGGGTCAGGTGTTGTGGAAAGTGTTCCATCTGATCACCCTTGGTATAGATGTCTTTTATCTGTTTATTCAGTCCACAGTGTAAATTCTGATTTTAATTGGAGTTTTTTCTTCTTCCCTGTAAAGGTGCACAGCTGAGTAGAACTTGTTGTGAAAATGGGGGTACCTGTATTCTTGGAAGCTTTTGTGCTTGCCCAAAGCATTTCAAGGGCAGAAGATGTGAATATGATGAACGTACCAAGTAAAGTTATCTTGAATCCTTTCAACATTCAATTTTCTGTTACACTAAATAATGTTTATAGATTTTCACAAGTTATTCCCCACTTAAAGCAACACATTTATTTTCAGGAACTGTGGCATCATTCCTCATGGAGAATGGATACAGAAAGGTTGCTCATATTGCCGGTGTATGTATGGAGTTCTTCACTGCTTTCCACTTGTGTTCCAGGATGGCTGTGGTATGTAGAATTCCCCATTCTTGTAGATCTTTAGAAGTGATAAGATGCATTTTTATGAAAATGTAATCCATTTCGCATAAAGAGATTTCGAGCTGACTTTGTCTCAAAGGTTTAAATCAAGAACTGATTTTATTTTTGCAGTGGTTGTTCAAACATTCATTTGTAAAATGGGTTGTAAATATGTCTCTATTTTTAAAGAAATTTCTTCCATGAACCTATGGCTACAACAGAGTCTTACATTATTATGCTAACTTATCCATTTTAACAATGGTTTTGTTCTAATGTCAAGTCTAACAACCTTTGGGAGCTGGAGCCACTAACCATGGCCTTTTAACCAATTAAGGCTTAGAAATGCAAGTTGCATGTTGTATTGATGTGATTACCTTTGTGTATGTGCTGTTCTGTTATATGCACATACTACACCTCTCAACATCCTTATTAGCATTAGTAAAAACCTGAGATACTTACTGGAGGACTGTTTCCTGAGTAGTACTGTAGTTTCCTTGTCTCACTGTGAAAAGAGTCGAAAAGCTGTTGTTCACACCTCTAACCAAGAGAATGGAAGCCTGGTGATGACCATAAGCTTTCTTTCACGATTGCACTCTCTTCATATTCATTTATCTGTGTGGTTGTTTCACTGTTCAAAACACAATGGCCACAACGGCTGAAATTCTTTTTCTTTTTCAGATGAAACGGAGGATGTCTTGTGGTTCCGTTCAAAAGGTTGCAGCATACTGATGTCCATGTACATTGTATTTCTAGGATTACTGATGCATATTCTCATTTGACCTTGCAATTTCTGTGTTGAAATTGCCTTAGTTTGATGACTCTCATCTCCCCTGTCCCTTATAATCAAAGAAGCGTATCTAAAACGCAGGGAAGCAATACCATTTACAATATTTGTATTTTGATCAGTTAGGTAATATTGAAATTCACCTTTCTTCCAGTGAAAGACAAAATTTCCATTGTGTGGAAAAACATATCTGTAAATAAGATGGTTTTATTTTTGGGGGGGTTTAAGTGTTTAACTTTAACAGATTTTTTTTGCAGTTTTTAATTCCAAAATTTTAAATGTCATGAATAACACGATTCAACATGTATAACAGTTAGCAGACATTCCAGGAAGTATTTTGCCTAACAAAATGGTATACACACAACAGTCAAGTATATCATCAGTACTACATTTGCTTTAGTGTCTTTCTCTGCAAATATGATAAATCATTAAGATGTTTAAGGCAGCCTGCTTCTTGTGTATTTTTACTTTTGAATAAAAGTATTGCTTTAAAACTGCAAACAAAACTGTTAATAGTGATAAGTACCTGTGACCTATTTATAAATTATTCATAATATAAATTATAAAAGACCCAAGCACTTTACTTTAAAAGCCCAGGAACCAACATACCTTTTCTAAGGTTAAGGAATGCTCTGAGGTCTTTATTTAATCATACATAAGCCCATAAACCCACTGCCAGTTGAGAATTGCAAGCATTGGTGGTAGATGTCCCCTGTTTACCAAGGTTTCTGCTTTTAACCATAACAGAACTGCCTTTAAGCAGCAGCAAATTTGGAATTTACAATAGAATAAGTAATCTATCCATTTGTTAGCTGATTAGTCTTTTCAGTGCTCCCAGCTATATTTGTAGCTCTTCATGAAATACATTTACAGAGCAATGCTGGTGTGGCAAAATTAAGTTATTTAATGTTTCATTCATACTCCCTCCAAACAACATCTCCCTTTTCCACTTATTTCCAAAGAAGGCAAATTAAATTAAGCAATGCACATTGAGCTCTGCTTAATGTTAAAATGTAGTTGTAACTCAAACATTCTTTTTCACTTGCTATCAGTGGGGAAAGGGAGTAAGTCTGATAAAGCTTGAATGACCCCCAGTCTTTGGCAAGCATTGTTATTATTAGTGAAACGACTCCTATGCTATTGGCTATATCAAACCTCTTATCTAAGAGGCACAATTAAACTGGCTAATAGTTTACTGATAATCTTGTAGTATAATTCATACCCTGGAGTGGTAAAAGTTAAAATAAAGTGCTTTGGAAGCTTTTTTTTGTTACTTTATTCTTATTTAGTTAGCAAAGCTGTGAAACCAGTTTAAATCACAAGCTTTGGCTATGCTTCAGTTTTAGAATAGCTTAATTATTCCAGCCATGAGCAATGTAGATTTGTTTTTTAATATACCACATTTAAAAGTTCTATTGTCTGATCTTTTAATTTTGTGTGTTAATTATACATTGTAAAATATCACATTTAATGAACATAGATTTAATTGGTTTAAGAGTTTTATTCAGCTAAATAATGGCAATTATGCGTGTTGAATTGATACTGGAAGCAGGTAATGAAGTGTGCATCTTAACACAGTTGTATCTGTGGACAATACATGAAAAGTATTTTTGTAGTTCAAGTCTTTGAGTGTTTTCAGTAAACCAAAATGAACAACCTGGCATTTTGGTTGAGAACACATTATAAAGCAAGATTTTAGATTATTTTGAACTGAATCCTTGTATGAATTCAGTCATTGTCTTATACTGACCTTTAATCTACTACTGCCTTGTTTTAAAATAAAATGAGAACAGAGTAAATTTGACACTGGTTAATGTTACAAAGCAGTGTAAGTTTAATGGTACATTAAAATAAACTCTGTTGTCTGAATATAGCTTCCAATATATGCACCTAAAGATTATTCCTAATATGGATTTCTAGAGGAATGCTGAGGTAAACAAAACAGAGGTGTCTGCAGTGTTCTTTTCTAATGGAAATGAAGACTATTTAGACTCTTTATGCAAACAGTTGCCAAAAGTACTTGATATGTACTGATACATCCCTGGTTTCCTGCAGTGATCTGCAATGCCCTGTTGAAGCAGCTTCCTGAAACATTAGTGGTCTGTTTAGTCACTGAAATGCAACAAAAAAATCAAAGTAACAAGCAGCTCACAGTTCAGTTCCTGTGCATATCTAAGAATTTGGCAAGATAGGACAACTAAGCTGTTTGAGAAAAGGGGGGTATTTGTTCACATATGCTGTGCAACAAAAATCAATGTTTATGCATGTAAACAATCCTAAAATAAAACCAAACTGTAAAAACTGTGCATAAAGTAGAATATCCATGCTTTTGCATTTAACAACTTTTTTGGAGCATGCAAACATTTTATAGTTGTGGATGAATGGTTATTGTATTTCTTTCAGTTTATTTTTTAATATAGAGTACATTAAAATAGATGCCCAGTATTCAGTTTCCTTCAGATCTAATAGTATTTCAGTTGGATTCAGGTCAGATTAATGTGAAGGGCAGTCCAGGATATCAAATTTGTTGCTGACTTGTCTGGGTGTTGGTGTTTTGATTCAGTAACACATTGAAATGGGATGTCAAATAAGTCTACAACTTACAACTGCAGCATTTACATTCAGTCATTTTCTGCTTCTGTAACTGATCTGTTGCTACATTTTCCCACTTTGTGCACTACTGTGTAACTTTTATGCCAATTATGAATGTCATTAGATTCCTTAATACTGTTTTTAAAATAAAATGTTAATGTTTGATATATTTTCTCTGTCAGTATAACAATGTCATGCTGTAATCTATGATACACTTTTATAGTGAATATCACTAAAGAGAAAATTAAATGCAAAATATGTTCAAGTTTATTAAATCACACTGCATTCATTTTAAGTAAAAATTGTTTGTATACCTAGTTTCTTGTGAGAAGGCTTGGTTCACAAATTTTCCTCAGCTATATATAGTTCTACTGCAGATGATAAGGGACTAATAAGGGTTAAAGACTTAATCCCTGCATCATCAACACAGAGGTGCGGAGTGACTACTGGTTAGTAACTACAAAATTGCTGAAGTCTCTGCTGATCTGGAAAACCTGATAAAGGAAAGGGAAAGCACTAAGTTCATCCTTTTCTAGTCCAAGTCTGAGTGTTTTAAACAAACTTGAAAGCAAGCATATTCCTACAACAGAGCTTCAGCAAAATAAATCAATTTGTGCTATTACAGCATTTTATCCACCATAGGCCAAACAAAATACCAAAAAAGGAAGAATACCAATAAGAACACACAATAACAAAATGGGGGCTTATATCGATGGAGATCAAGACCGACTGTGGCCAAGCCATGAATTCATTAAGTGTATTTTAAATACGTTACAAAAGAAACAGATCTTTATGATTGTAAACTGCTTAATAAATCTAATCTCCTGGCTTGAAAGACATGACTTCTGCCCAACAGACAGCAAAGGATGTCAGTGTCTCCTACTCCCTGCTGGGAAGCAGTTCAATAGAATAATTAGAACAAGACTGGACACTGCTAAAAACATGGCTTTGGAATAGCTTTGAAAATCCTTTACAAAACCAGGAAAGTAAATTATTCCAGAGGATTATCTTACTTTAAGATGCATGAAGTTGTAGTGAGTTCTTTGCCTCTTGTAATTGAGTTATGTAAAAGCAAATGAAACACAAATCCTTTCTCTTGTTGACATGTCTTGAGGACAAACATGATTAAAAGTATAAAATAAAAAATTGCAACAGAGTAAAAAGGGGGAATGGGATGTTTTATATCTTGGAATCCAAAGGCATAAAGATTATTTTTTTTACAGAAAATAACAGATACACTGAGCATGCACAGCAATTTATATTTCAGTTTTTCTAATAGTAAATATATACATTCATAATTTCAGAAAAGTCACGATGTTTCGCTGACGGACATTCCACAAACTGCAAAATGTAAGAAAAACATATCAAGTGTTTGTGAATGCCCCAGAATGAAATAATATTGATGTAATATACACTATGTGTATATTATGAAGATGTAATATGCTAAAAATAAAAAAGTGGATGGCACAATTATCATGCCTTTATATATCTCTTATATCTGCCTGTTTATGAGCTTCTAAAACAAGTTATATTTTTTAATAAGAATATGGTCATGGGAGTGTCAAATTTTGTTGGACACATAATTTTTCTTTTTTTTTTTGCATTAGAACACAGTTCAGCAGCCAAAGAGGTACTCGTTGTGAGGACTAAGAATAGTTTCATTTACAGGAAATCATATATACAAATAGTAGCATAAAGAGTGTCAATACTTTTTATGATTTTAACATATCTATATTGAATAGCTGTAGCAGCAAAGAGGAAGAAAGAATAATTTTTCAGGGTAGCGTGATACACTTACAAGGATTGCTATGCCTCAGTCGATATAGGGAATTTCTTGAAAATGTGACATTTGTTCTTTTTCAACCTTGCTAATAACTGCTATTATTTAGAGGGGTCATGCATTATACAGGTATTTACATAAATAGGCAACTGATTGTTCTTTAATCTCAAACGTATCTGCAGCATATAGTACAAATTCGCTAGTAATTACAATAAAAGTGCACAGGTATTTTGCCAATATTTACTTAAATTTTTAAAACAGGTTATTTCTTTGTTTAATTATTACAGTAGTGAGTTAATGCTTTTTTCAATTTGCCTTAAATCATAACATAATAGCTCCATTATTATTTCTATTAGAAATAGTAATTTACCATGGTATGTCAATTATTCTTTATGACATCCTGAGTATATGTATTCCTTTTAAGCAAGTATAAACATGTTTTAGCCCTATTTTTAAAGAGAACTTAATGAATAACAAGTTAAAAATAGCTTTTCTTTTCACATTTTGAACAATTTAAGGTTTCAGCATCCTTAATCCTGATAGGAAGGAGGTTGATGAGGAACACAGCACATGTAAGTTCCAGTCTTCATATTGGAACAACTAAGATATATGACTTTTGTGATTTTAAGGAATAAATAAGAATTGGAACTCTTGAATTGTGACTCTATTGTGGATGCTTTAAAATCATTTTGAAAAATATGAAGGAACTTGATTACTGTGAGAAGATGCTGAGAAAGACTTATAAACTGGAACAGATTAACTTAATTATGAGGCAAACCAGCTAACAGAGAGATCGAGTAATTGAGACAAAGTCATCAGGACTGGTTTATCATCTTAGAATAAAAAAGCATTAAAATTCACACTTTTACAACCATCTGGATAAAGAGGTGCCTCCTGTTTGTAGTTTTAAATGCATTACTACTTAGTTCCTGCATGTGTTCTGGTTTTAAATGTTGATTCTGAAGAAGTACACTACATTGACTTTGTCAGTGCCTTTGAGGATTTTGTGTGCTCACATTAGGTCCCCAGTAGTCTTCTCTGATCAAGACTAAAAAAGGCAATTTCTTTCAGCCTGTTAGTGGAGGACAAATGCTAAATGCATCTGGTTGCTTTTACTGGACTAAGTCCACGAGAGTAAGTATATTGTTATAATGTTGTGACCAAAATTGTACATAAAATTCTAAATGAGACATGTACATTTCATTTAAATCTTTCTGTCTTTTTTGCTGCTTCTACTGTGTTTACTATTGTGGTGTGAATGGAACAAATAAAGCTTTATTCCATTCTGAAAAGAGAAGAAAAGAAACATAACATTTCAGCTGTGAAGCTTTCTTTGGGCTGACACCTGAAGAAGGCTCCACAGCCAAAATGTTGTTTTTCTTTTCCTCTCTTTTCAGCATGGAATAAACCTTTACTTGTTCCTTTGCAGTCTACGCATGCTGACGCAGCTATCTACTTGAACTATTTTGGTATCATCTGTAAATGAGACTAGTTTAACAAAATCTAGTTTACTGATTCGGAAATTTGAAAGAGCAGTAGTCTTAGTATATATTGTTGTTATACTCCACAAATACATGACGACAATTTGATTATTCTCCCTTATCAATACTTTCTGTTTTCTGTTTATTAACCATTTATCAATCCAAATGCATGTTTTTACACTAATGATTGAAAATTAACATCTTTTTAAAGACCTTTATTAAAAGTCTTTTAAAAAATCTAAATACAACATATCACATGACCTGTTTTTTTATCAATTACTGTTGGTGCTTGTTTACATAAATCTAAAAAAATCATCATGCAACTGATTCCTTTCCCCAAGTCCATGTTGACTATTACGTAGGATACAATTTCCCTATAAATGATTCTTATTCAATTCTAATACTTTATTTTCATAACCTCACATGTATTAGATTTCAGGTATATTGGTCTGTAATTACTTGGGTCAGCTTTGTGGATGGACACTTCACTGCCAATTTCCCAGTCCATAACTACTATTCCAGTCTACTGTGACTGTTGGAAGAGTTGCCTATACCCTTCAAATAACATCTCTCATTTTATTAAGGACAATTAGTAAGACACCACCAGCCCTGGGGATTTATTAATCTTGAGCGCTTTTAGTACCAGAAACACTTCTATGTTATACTACTTAATGAAGAAATTTCCTTTTTTCCTTCTGCTCTCTGAGGCATTTTGCTTCTTCCCTAATGA